GGAGATGGGAAGAGGAGTGGGGATGGAAAGAGGGATGGGAGGGGATTGGGGACAGGGTGATGGGGAAGTTGAATGGGGAGGGGTTTGGGGTGGTGTTTGGGAAGGGGGTTGGGAAGCGGAAGAGGGATGGGGAGGGGAATAGGGAGGTAGATGAGGAGGGAATGGAGAAAGGGTTGAGCGGAGGGTTCGGGGGATAATATTGAGGATGGGGTCTAACAGGAGAGGGGGATGATGTAAGTGAGGGGAGCGGTGAGGAGAGTGGGGATTGGCAGAGGGTGTCATGGTGATGGTGATTAAGGTTCTGTAACTCCCTCCCCTCCTGATGATCAGTGATGGCGAGTTGATGTGACACACTGTGTCAGGGATAAACCCGCTCTCCCGAGCTGGCTATTTAAAGGAGTTAATTATTTAGTTGCATTTGGCCTTTTCTGACCCTGTAGCCCTGCTATCCCCTCCTTCTCTGCTGATCGGGTTGTGTGTGGGGAATAAGGTGGAGCCTCTGCTCCAGTCGGGGAGGGGAGGGGAAGGGGGGGGATGCAGGATTAAATACCCCCAGACTCAGTGATAAAACCAGCCTCCACTGTGATAAATCCCATTGGGTTCACTAATAGCTGGTAAACCTGCTGTCACTCAATGTAGGGGCAGTAAATCTGTGGAATTCTCTCCTGTCGAGGCTCGGTCATTTGGTATATTGAAGGCTGAGACAGACAGGTTTTTAATCTGTAAGGGGAATCAAGGGTTGGGGGAAAAGGCAGGAAAGTTGAGGATGATCACATCAGCCATGATTGAATGGCGGAGTGGACTCGATGGGCTGAATGGCCTAATTTCTGCTCCTATGGTTTTAACGCTAACAGTAGTGTGGTTGACCGTGAACTGTACTCTGAAGTCGCCTTTCCAGCCTTTCCATTGTCCTAAATGTTTGTGATAAAGGAGCAGAACAGCTAAAGTTCCCTCCATGGGCAGTTAGGGACGGGCAGCATTATCAAAGATACTTCAGAGACTTTTAAGTGACTCTTGGATAGGCACATGGAGGATAGTAAAATGTAGGGTATGCAGGATAGATTGATCTTAGTAGGACAATAGGTCGGCACAATATGGTGGGTCAAAGGGCCTGTACTGTGCTGTACTGTTCTATGTTCTATGTTTCATGTTCTATGTTCTATGTTCCATGTTCTATGTTCTACGTTCTATGTTCTATGTTCTACATTCTATGTTCTATGTTCAACGTTCTATGTTCTATGTTTTATGTTTTATGTTCTATGTTCCATGTTCTATGTTCTATGTTCAACATTCTATGTTCTATGTTCCATGTTTTATGTTCT